GGAGAGGGGAGGGCAACTAAAATGATCAGGGGTTTGGAACAGGTCCCATATGAAGAGAGGCTAAAGAGACTGGGACTTTTCAGCTTAGAGAAGAGGAGACGGAGGGGGGATATGATAGAGGTCTCTAAAAGCAAGAGTGTTGAGAAGTCAGCCGAGTGTTCTTATGTTATGAGTGCCACAGTGGGAGGAGAAGGGGGGCGGGGCGGTGATGTGCGGCGTGACAGCAGCTCCAGGCCCTGCCCTTTGGCCGTGAACGTCTCCGCCCTGCCCCCCTTTGCCTCCCGCCGGGGCGCTCGGCTGACTTCTGCGTTGCTCAGCCGGGCCAGTGCGTGGGAGCAAGCGGCGCAAGCGACCGTTTGGGCTCCGCGCTCCTCATGCAGCACAGGGAGTGCGGACCCCAAACAGCCATTTGGGCTCCGCGGTTCCCCGAGTGAGAGACAGGAGGGGGAGGAGAAGTGAAAGAGAGGGGGGAGGCAGTAGGAGGAGAGAGAGAGCGACGGAGCGAGAGACCGGAGGCTCAGGAGAGGAGAGACCTGAGAGCCCCATCTTATGACGGGCTAATTGGCTCGTTTATACATAAGAAGGGCCACACTGGGTCAGACCAAAGGTCCAGCCAGCCGTGTCCTGTCTGCTGACTGTGGTGAGCAGCCTGGATCATGATGCAGCCTTGACAACTTCCAGGCAGAGGGGACGAGATCTTGCTCCACACTGGCTATGTAAACGACAGCAGTGACTTTGTCTGATATCAGGCCCACTGGCATGGGTGGCAAAAGGGGCAACTTGCATGGGCCTAGCGATTCAAAAAGGCCCAGGGCTGCTACATCAGCCGTGGGAGCTGGATCCCCAGACCCTTTAAATCACCACTGGAGCCCCAGGCCGTGGCTGGTGGGGCGAGGCTAGCCCTGGCTCAAAGGCCCCTCCATTGCTCCCCCACCTTGCTCACCCACCTGATACCCCCTGCATAGGGAGAGAATGGATACGCAGGAGGATGGCCTTAAAGAGAGGTGGACAACTCTCAGCTCTAGCACATGGATGGCAGGAACTCGGCAGGGTGAGCAGTGGGGCTGCTCAGCTGGGCACCCCCCCGGACGGGAAGTGTCTGTCATGATGGTGGCACTGGGCGTGGAAGCACTGAAGGGGATGCTCACTCTCACCTTTTTGGGGTTCAGCCCCAAGGCATAGGTGAAGATTCAGGTGGAGCTTGATATGGCCCTTGCAAGTCGACTGAGCACAGCCAGCCCTAGAGGCATTGTGGACGAGTATGGAGAATGGTGTCAGCTGAATGTGTGTGTCCCTATGGTCTAACGGCCAATGGCATTTGGGATGTAGGAAATCCATGCATCATACGGCTCGTTATCCGAAATCCGTCTGCGGGGGAGGAAAGCTAGTGTGGAAACAGAGCGCCAATAAAGTGCATGCATCTGACGAAGTGGGTCTTTGCCCACGAAAGCTTATGCTCCTACACTTCAGTTAGTCTATAAGGTGCCACAGGACTCCTCGTCGCCAATAAAGTTAGTCGTCTTTGTGGGCGATAAAACCGACTTTTCTCTGTTTATGCAAACGCCTCGTGCAGGGACCCTACCAGGAGACAGTCGTCCACATAAGAGAAAACTGTGCAGCCCCGATGTCTCCTCTGGGCTGCCACCCCCGAGAAAACTTCTCTGAGTCCTGGTGCCCTCACTAGTCCAAAGGGAGAGTCAGAATTGGGGATGTTCCTGGCCCACCATAAACTGAGGGTGGGGCTGAATGTCTGCAAGGGAACTAGGAGCCATGAGCCAGGCTTGCTCCTGAAGGACAGGGATTGCTGATGCCGATGGAACCCTCCTGCGCTGCTGGAGGCCCAGCCACAGGCCCCCCACCTCTTTTCTGGCAGTAGGACATACGGGGAGTCTGCGCAGAGCTGGGTGCGTTCCTATTGCAGCCTGGGTCCTGCCAGGTTTTTCAGTAGTCCCTGCTGGCTTGCCAGAGCTGTGCACAAGGGTGCACCCGCTTACAATCACCTTTGCCCTAGTGAACACTGCTCTGCACCCAGCACAACTGCAGAGTGCACATGGACACTAGTGCACAGCAAGTCAGTGCAGGGTGGTTCACACCCCAGTGTATCACGATTCACACAGGCATGCCCACCGCTGCTGCTTTGCATTCTCTATGCAGAAGGATGATAAGGTCTTGGCTGCACTGTTCACATGAGCCCACCCTCCCAGTGCTGCAGGTTGCTCTGTGGGACTGACCCGTATTTAGCCTGCCACCAGTGTCTGCGTCATCTGCCGCTTCTCTGAGAGGTTCCGTTGTACAGTCTTCCAAATGGAAGAACGAGGAAGCCACTGAATAGCACTGGGCTGAGCAGTGATCCCTGCGGAAGCCCAGGAGAAGCACCCACTGGATGCGCAGTACCTGTTTGCAGCTGCTTCTGAGGTTGGCTAGCCAGTTTGACTCTGAGTCCTACACAACGAGCAAGACAGACACCCGCCCCTCCTGGCGCAGGAGTTTCTGCTGCAGTGAGCTAGGCAGCTGCACAGGCAGCAGGCCAACACAGAGACAGGGCAGAGGGCACAAGTAAGCCTTGCAGATCCCCATACGGCCGCAGGACATAAGAATGGCCAGACTAGGTCAGCCGAAAAGTCCATCCACCACCCGACTCCCCAACTGCTCCCTGTACCTGAGCTTGGCTGGATGAGGAAAGCATTCTTCTCGTTGCCACTCACAATGCTGTAAGTGATGTGCCCCGAGGAGCCCCCGGTGTGCAGGGCCTGGATGCTCACCACGGTGGTGCCTGTAGGAGGGAGCGAGAGTGAGGCAGCGTGACAACCCAGAGAGGAAGGAATGGAGACAAGGAACATGGGGTGTGCACCATGAACGCAACTGGCAGCTCCTGGGGGGCACTGGCAAACCCTAGACAGCCCTCAGGACTGCCACGTGGAGTCAGATCTGTAGGCAGGGGTGCTGGGGAGCCCAGGTGTCCGGGCTCTATACCTGCCAGGGAGCACAGCAGAGGACAGTGGGTAAGTGGAGTCAGTGACCAGTCTGTATGGCTGTGCCTGCCCTGGGGTCCCGGTGACCCCTCCTTTGCTCCACACAGACACCCTTGGCACCGCCTCCTTGGAACCCACCCCTTGCCCTCCTAACATTCCCCAGTTCCTAGTTACCCCAGTGTCCTGTACCCCTCCCCCCGGATCCGAGGTACCTCAGCACCCTGTGACCTTGTACTCAGTCCCCCGGATTCCAGTTACCCCAGGGCCTTCTGACCCTGTACCTGGAGCCGAGTTACCCCTGTGCCCCTGTATCCCTCCCCCCGGATCCCAGGTACCTCAGTGCCCTGTGACCCTGTACCCCTCCCCCTGGATCCCAGTTACACCAGTACCCTGTGACCCTGTACCCCTTCCGCTGGTTCCCAGTTACCCCAGTGCCCTGTGACCCTGTACCCCTCCCCCTGGATCTCAGTTACACCAGTACCCTGTGACCCTGTACCCCTTCCGCTGGTTCCCAGTTACCCCAGCGCCCTGTGACCCTGTACTCAGTCCCCCGGTTCCCAGTTACCCCAGTGCCCTGTGACCCTGTACCCCTCCCCCTGGTTCCCAGCTCCCCCAGTGCCCTGTGACCCTGTACCCCGTCCGCTGGTTCCCAGTTACCCCAGCGCCCTGTGACCCTGTACTCAGTCCCCCGGTTCCCAGTTACCCCAGTGCCCTGTGACCCTGTACTCAGCCTCATGGATCCCAGTGACCCCAGTGCCCTGTGACCCTGTACCCCACAGCCTGGTTCCCAGTTACCCCAGTGCCCTGTGACCCTGTACCCCACAGCCTGGTTCCCAGTTACCCCAGTGCCCTGTGACCCTGTACCCCACAGCCTGGTTCCCAGTTACCCCAGTGCCCTGTGACCCTGTACCCCACAGCCTGGTTCCCAGTTACCCCAGTGCCCTGTGACCCTGTACCCCACAGCCTGGTTCCCAGTTACCCCAGTGCCCTGTGACTCTGCACCCCACCCCATGGGTCCCAATAACCCCAGTGTCCTATGACCCTGTACCCAGCCCCTTGCTCCCAGTGTCCTGTGTCAGTGTCCCTAGAAGTCCACTGTTGCCCACTGCCCCAGTGCCCTTTGCCCCACTTTGTGAACCTTGCTGTGCCCTTTTGCCCCATGTGCTCCTAACGTCCCAACGTTCCTTTCTACTTTCCTTCCCAGGATTGGTGCTCTGTGCCTCTTTAGGGTGCCAGGAAGCTGCCCCCAAAGGGTTGACTGAGTCGGGGTCGGTCCTGCTTTGGGCAGGGGGCTGGACTCGGTGACTCCTGAAATCTCTGCCAGCCCTGGGGTTCCGTGATTCTAGGGTCTCACTCTTCTGCTCGGGTTAGCCATGCAGCCTCGTTAGGGTGCCGCGCTGCAGTGTGCAGCAAGCCCCACTCTACCGACTCCACTCCGCAGGGCCTGGGTGCCTCCCCAAGCACTCGCACTGATCTCACGAGAGAGGAGAAACCGTCTCTTCTTTGAGGGCTTGTTCATGTCCATTCCAAACAGGCGACGCGCCAGCCCGAGGGGAGGGGGGGGGGTTAAAAGACAGGCCACAAAGGGTCGGAATAAACTGACTTGTTTTCGGAGTGGAGAGAGGTAACGAGTGGGGTCCCCCAAGGGTTGGTACTGGGACCAATCCGAGTCAACACATTCATAACTGATCTGCAGAAAGGGGTAAACCAGGGGTGGGCAATAATTTTTGACCAGGGCCTCAGGCGGAAGGGGCGGGGCCAGGATACTTCCCCACCCACAGACCCTGACTGGTCTAGTGGTGGGGGAGCGTGCAAAGTCTTTGTCCCCCCGGACAGAACCGACAGCTGTTCTGAACAGCTAGTGGTTCCCTCTAGGTGCCTGTGCCCCTGGTGGTGGGAGGAGACGTTGCGTACTCCCCCCTGCGGTTGTTACCCACCAGCTCTGTGATTCTTGGGAAACCAGAACATGGTCACCTGTCAGCCTTGTGCTCTTGGGGAGTCAGGGAGTGACATTCATGGAAAACCATCCCCCTCCCTCAGGCCTCTGCTAGAATCAAAGACAAAGCAAAGAAAAGGCCGGGGAAGACACACCTAAACTGCTTCAGACAAGGGTGATACAATTAAGGAAACACCCCAGCCTCATTTGCATTAAAGATGGAACAGAGGGACATCTCATTAGCATACAGAATGGAGAGCAGCTCTTCCAAGGCAAGAACCGCAGTGAACTATGGGACACCGAAA